TTCCCAATCAATTTTCCTATAAACCTAACATTGTCCTAAAAAATAAAGTCTATCAATTTTTTTAAAGGTCAGGAAACCAAAATGATGTCAAAAAACATTGAGCTTATCCCAGGGTTCTGGGATCGAGCCCCACATCAGGCTCCCTGCTCGGCGGGAAGCCTGCTTTTCCCTCTCCCACTCCCCCTGCTTGTGTTCCCTCTCTTGCTGTGTCTCTCTCTGTCAAATAAATAAATAAAATCTTAAAAAAAAAAAAAATTGAACTTTATAGAGGAGTCAATTCAACAAGATAAAAAAAATGAGGGCACTACAAATGTTAGATAACTAAAAGCAAAGCTTGCTTACTAAAATTGTAGAGATTTCCTAAACTATTATGAAAATATACCAGTTGCCCCAAAAAATAAAAATCAGGTCCACCAGTTCTATACAAAGGGATCATATAATCAAAAATAATTATTTATTCCTAAAAAGAAAATTATTAAAGCATCTACCACACACTACCAGAGAAACAGAAGAGAGCAATGATATAAAACCGGACTGAAATGAAAATTGTAGGGCCTGTTGTAATGCCAGATCTAAGAGCAGCTGTATTACCCATAGGAGGCCTTAACTGCTATGGGTAATACAGCAGTTTAGAGATGCCAAACATCTCTAAAATGAAAAGACTGGACTTCCACTTCCAGTCACAGTCAAAATGGTGTAACAGAGACTGAACTTACCCTCCCACCTAAAACGAAAAAATAACAGACAGAACACATGAAACAACAGTTCACAACACTGGACATCAGGTAACAAAGGATAATGATCCTTGAGGGAAAGGAACAGATGAGGTGAGCCTTTCTGTTGTCCCAGCTTACTGACTAAAGCGCGGGGAGGGGAAGCCAGGCAGAACTCAACGGATTCCCTGAGTTGAGGAGACACAGCTGAGAGTCAAGGAGACCAAGGACACTGGAATTCTCAGGCAGAGTGTCTGAGAGGAGAGAGATACAAAGACAAAGAACCCCAGGGATCTGTAGAGGGTCCCCATCAAGAGTTCAGCTGAATACTGACAAGCGTGTGCGCATGAGGACGCTACCTGAGGCTAGAAACAACCAATCAAAAGGTTTAGAGGGAGCAGTACCCAGTGCTCGCAGAGGGCCAAGAACAGGCCTGTTCCCTCCAACCAGACTGAAAAAAATCCCATAATTCTAGAGTACTCAGAAGAGTACTTGCCTCAGTAGTGAGGAATAAATAGCTCTATATTAAATACTGCTCTGGTGCCATTTAAGAAACCTTAAAAGCCAGAAAAGAAAGGATCCAACTGTTTCCAAATTTCTTAACTGCATCCTAGAATAAGGTCAGGGAGGGGCACCTGGGTGGCTCAGTCGTTAGCGTCTGCCTTCGGCTCAGGTCATGGTCCCAGGGCCCTGGGATTGAGTCCCACATCAGGCTCCCTGCTCGGCGGGAAGCCTGCTTCTCCCTCCCCCACTCTTCCCCACCCTGCTTGTGTTCCCTCTCTCACTGTGTCTCTGTAAAATAAATAAATAAAAATATTTTTTTTAAAAAAAGAATAAGGTCAGGGAAAATATGGGAAACGGGGGAAATCAAGGAACACAAGAAAGTATAACCCAATGAGGAGAAAAATCAATCAAAAGTCAATTAAAATTGGGGCGCCTGGGTGGCTCAGTCGTTAAGCGTCTGCCTTCGGCTCAGGTCATGATCCCAGGGTCCTGGGATCGAGCCCCGCATCGGGCTCCCCGCTCGGCGGGAAGCCTGCTTCTCCCTCTCCCACCCACCCTGCTTGTGTTTCTGCTCTCGCTCTCTGTCAAACAAATAAATAAAATCTTTAAATTAAAAAAAAAAAAAAAAAAAAAAAAGTCAATTAAAATTAACCCAGAACAGGGGCACCTGGGTGGCTCAGTTGGACTTAGGCGTTGGGACTCTTAATCTCGGCTCAGGGCTTGATCTCAGGGTCGTGAGTTCAAGCCCTTCTTTGGGCTCCACACTGGTCGTGGAGCCTACTTAAGGGAAAAAAAAAACCCAGAATAGATACAGATGTTAAAATTAACAGAAAATGACTCTAAAACAGCATTCTGTATAACTGTATTCCATATATTCAAAAAGTGACGTAGTGACATGAAAGACATAAAAAAGACCTAACCTGAACTTCCAGGGATGAAAATCACACTTCTGCAATGAAAAGTAGACTGGATTATAAAGACTTGGGAACTTGAAGGCCTAGCAATAGATACTGCCCAAAAGGAAAGAGAGAGAAAAGTAAGTTAAAAAAATGAACAGTGCATCGATGAGCTATGGGACAGCCTGACGTATGCGTAATAGGAGGCCCCAAAGGGAAAAAGGGAAGAAAAATTTGAAGAAATAATGGCCAAAAAATGTACAAATTTGATAAAAATTATGAACTTGCAAATTCAAGAGGCTCAACAAAATCCAAACACAAGAAACATGAAGAGAACTACACTTAGGTACATCATAATCAAACTGCTCAAAAAACAAAAAAATGCTAAACTGTTAAAAGCAACCAGAAAAAAAAAAAAAAAACCACATGTGAAACACACCACAAGAACAAAGATAAGGATAAAAGATTTGTCATCAGAAACAACCAGGAAAAAGGCAAAGAACTGACATCTTAAAGCACAGAAAGAAAAAATTGCCAGCCTAGAATTCCATATCCAGCATATTTTCCCAAAAAAGGCAAAATGAACACTTTGCAGATATATGAAAACTAAAAGAAGTCAGCACCAGCAGAATAGCACTACAAGAAATATTAAAGGAAGTCCTTTAGGCAGAAGGAAAAATGGACACAAAAATAGAAATATGGACACCCAAAAATGAAGAGCACAGTTAATGATAACTACATGGGTAAATATATGGCTTCTTTCCTTTTTTTCAAAGATTTTATTCATTATTTGAGAGAGAGAGAGACAGAGAGAGTGTGAGCATGATGGGGCAGGGGGCAGAGGGAGAAGCAGACTCTGCTGAGCAGGGGCCCAACATGGGCCTCAATCCCAGGACTCTGGGATCATGACTAGAGCCGAAGGCAGATGCTTAACTGACTGAGCCACCCAGGCATCCCTGGCTTCTTTCTTATTATTTAAATATCTTTAAAAGATAATTGAATGTTTTAACAGACTGTTTAAACAAAAAAATAAATACAGGGGCACCTGGGTGGCTCAGATGGTTAAGCATCTGCCTTCGGCTCAGGTCATGATCCCAGGATCCTGGGATCGAGTGCCGCATCGGGCTCCCTGCTCTGCGGGAAGCCTGCTTCTCCCTCTCCCACTCTCCCTGCTTATGTTCCCTCTCTTGCTGTGTCTCTCTCTGTCAAATAAATAAAATCTTTAAAAATAAATAAATACAACGTTATTATTTATATATATTTATATATTTATTTATATATATTATTATATATATTATATCACATATATAATATATATATATTATATCACATATATACAATATACATATATTATATATATGTGACAATAGCCCAAAAGTTAGGAGGGGAGAAATGGAATGTCAATTATATCTCAATAAAGCTGTTAAAAAATTAAAGGCAGACCCTCCAAAGAAAAAGTTTATAATGTAATATTTCAATGTTACAACTTCTTATTCTCCTAGATTCTCTTTCTTTAAAAAATATGTGATAACCTCTTCATTTTGCTACATATTTTTTATATGTGCATCTATGCATTAAAAAAAAATTAGAGGGGCACCTGAGCGGCTCAGTCAGTTAAGCGTCTGCCTTCAGCTCAGGTCATGATCCCAGGGTCCTGGGATCAAGCCCCACATCGGGCTCCCTGTTCAGTGGGGAACCTGCTTCTGCCTCTCCCTCTGCTGCTCTCCCTGCTTGTGCTTTCTCTCATTCTCTCTCCTGCTCTCTGTCAAATAAATAAATAAAATCCCCCCCCCCAAAATTAGAGGGTTTTCCAATATACCTTTCTCCTGGAATCTCACTAAAAGAGAAAGAGAAATAAAATTGTAAAAGAATTAATGAGGAAATTTATAAGGAAAAAGAATAAAAGATGTGGAAACGGCAATCAAGACTTGTGCATCAACTCTCCAGCTCCCAAAAATATCGAATGGCACAGCATTTAGGAAGAGGTTGAAACCGACCAATCTGAAGGGGCGATTTGAAACCTTAAGCCCTAGAAAGACTCAAGAATGAGAGGCACCAACAGCTGTGAAAGCATGCTTTAGGATGGAACTAAAAACAGAAGGAATGGGTTAAAATATGTTTAAGAAACAGTGATAACCCCAAATCCTCTCTGCCACTTTGAGAAGACACATGACTCACCTTTGACCAAAAAATGTAGGGGAGGCTGTAGGACTGTAGCTTACTAGCCACAGAAGAGATGGGGTAAGAGGTCTACTGATGGCTGCCCCGGGGGCAGGCGGAGGACGCTCACCTTCTGCATGTGAGACGCCCTAGTATCCTGTATCTGCTCAGCTCCCAGAAGAGTGGCAGCCAGGTCTATGTCACCCTCACAGGAGTAAAGAAAGTAAAGAACAGAAGTAACGTCTGAAACAGTTGAGATCATTAACCCCCGGGGAAGTGAAAACAAGCAGAGGGAAGAACAGGGCACTTGATAGCTACTTTTTGGTTTTGATAGCTATTTTTTGTTAGAAACCTTGTATTACTGGGGTGCCTGGGTGGCTCAGTCGGTTAAGCATCTGCCTTCGCTCAGGTCAAGATCCCAGGGTCCTGGGATGGAGCTCCACGTGGGGTTCCCTGCTCAGCGGGAAGCCTGCTTCTCCCTCTGCTCCTCCCCCTGCTCATGCGTTCTTTTTCTCTCTCAAATAAAATCTTTTTAAAATTTTTTTTAAAAATTAAATTAAAAAAAGAAATTTTATTATTTGACCATTTAAATGATACTTGTGTTATTTTTAAACCATGCACTTACATCATTTTGATAAAAATTATTTTTAATTGAATTATCAGAATACACATTAAAGTTCTCGTTCTGTTGTTGTTTTTGTTAATTTACAAGTCTTTTCTTCCTTACCTTCTTCCCACCTGGCTTCTCCACAGTGAAAACTTCACTCCAGATCTGAATCCCCGTTGTTTCTGGGTCAGAGCCCCCTCTCCATGAAAACCCTGTTAACGGTTCTTCTGAGTCACCCAACCAATTTGAATGGCCACCTTCCTTCTATAGGAAAAATAAGAAATTTCCATTAAATCTTAAATTTTGAGTAATTTTACCTATCAAGGATAATCCACAAGCTTATTTTGCTCTTTTGGACACACAAGTCTCATTTCCAATCTGAAATGAAATAATTCAAGCTTACCTGGAAATATAAGTATCGTAGCATGAAGTCCAGGAAGAAGGACTTGCCCTTTCGGAAGGCACCAGCCACCGACACCACCACCACATCAAGGTCTCGGATGTGGTCCTGCAAGAGAATGCTGGCCAAGGCTTTCTCTTCTAACTCAAAGGAATGCTGGTCTTTCTGAACCAAAACAACCTGCACTGGGCCAGGCTTTCCACTCTCCATGGCATCACCTAGATTGTTGCAGAGGAAAAAAAAAATTTGTTTCAAATCTTTTTTAAATTTGTATTTTTGAACATGGGAAAAGCAAAAACTTCTTAAATGGTACAAAAACACTAACCATAAAAGAAAAAATGACAAATTAGAATCCATTAAAATAAGAGTTTTTGTTTATTAAAAGACATTATTAATGGAGGGATGGGGTAACTGGGTGATAGACATTAAGGAGGGCATGTGATGTAATGAGCACTGGGTGTTATGTAAGATTGATGAATCACTGACCTCTACCTCTGAAACTAATAATACATTATATGTTAATTAATTGAATTTAAATTTTAAAAGACACTATCAAAAGAAAGTAAAATGAAAGCCACAGACCAGGAAAAAATATTCACAATACCTATATCCAAAAGACTCACACCCAGAATCAATATGGAAATCCATACGGAAAGGACAAATATTCAAATTTTTAAAATAGTAATAAGCAAAAGGCACTTCATTAAAAAAAGGATACCCAAATGGTCAATTATCCTATGAAGAGGTGCTTCCATACCATTACTTACCAAAGAAATAGAAATAAAACCATATTGAGATACCACTACCTGTCCCATGAGAATGGGGCTAAAATTGAAATGACTGACAATATCAACTGTGAGAGAAGTTGTGGTACAGCTGGAATTGTCACACATTCTAATGGGAATATAACCACTTTGGAAAACTGCTTGGCAGTAGCTACTAAAACTAAACATACCTATAACCTAGCAATTCTACTCTTAGGTATATAACTTAGAGAAATAAGTGCTTATGCCCACCGAAAGACATAAATACAAGAATGTTCACATAGGGATGCCTGCGTGGGTCAGTCGGTTAAGCAGCTATCTTCAGCTCAGGTCATGATGATCTCAGGGTCCTGGGATGGAGTCCTACATGGGGCTTCCCTGCTCAGCGGGGAGTCTGCCTCTCCCTCTGCTCCTCCTCCCTGCTCATGCTCTTTCTCTCAAATAAATAAAGATGAGCAGAGAGCCCGAGGCTAGGCTCTATCCCAAGACCCTGAGATCATGACCTGAACCAAAGGGAGACACTTAACCAACTGAGCGACTCAGACGCCCCAATAAATAAAATCTTAAAAAAAAAAAAAGGTTCCCATCAACTTTATTCAAAAAAGCCCAAACTAGAAACAATCCAAATGTCTATCAGCAGTAGAAAGGGTGCCTGCCACTGCTAAGCCTTTTACATACATTTTGTTTAATCCTCAGAACAACCCCATGTGGTAAATAATACTGCCTCATTTTTAAAAATAAGGAAACTAGGGCTTACAAAAGTTAAACATCTTGTCCAACTGGTTCTGGAGAAAAGCTTGAAAAGATCTTTAGGTGGCTAGGACTTGCAGATCATTCTTAATAACCCAGGCAACACATTAGGGGCAATTAATTCTTTAGCTCAAAATTAAGCACTAACTAGTAGTTTCCCTACCAGAGTTGAAAGCAGAAAGATATCAATTCTTTGAAATTCACAGAACCACTCAGTAGCTATGGATTTATGGAAAGTTTATGAAAAACTACCAGTGTAGCCTAGTAAAGCCTAGAAGCAAAGCACTATTTCCCTAAGTGTATGCACCACTGGTATTAAAGATGTTTTCATGTATTAAAAGGACATTTATTTTAATAATTATGTATTTTAATGTATACAAGGAAACAAAACCATGTTTTAATGGATTGTTACTCGGAAGGATGCTAAGTTTAAAAGGTGAATCAAATCAGAGTAAATTGAAAAACAAATCCTAAGCAAAGCACAGTAAGGTAAGCAGATATGGCAAAAATCACCAAATTACTTTTGTCTGGGAAACACTTGAAGGCTCCATGATCACAGTAGACAAAAGTCAACAAAACAGCTTGACTGCCAGACTCTACCCATTAAGCTATGGGAACTGCTGCTCACTTTTTATATCAGAAAGCAACAAAGGGTTCTTGCCACTTTTATCTTTTTATCAAACTAGTGGAAAACAAGTTATAAATATACATTAACTGTCATGGTATCATTGTAATAAATGTATATTACTATTTTTCTTTCCCATTACTGCCCGGATAAAAAGGAAATATTTCTGTGAATAATCTCTTACAGTTCTTTATTGCCACAAAAGCAGGTGAATCCAGGACCTAAAGACCTTCAATCTTTCATATAAAAGAACAAACGATCTTATGGATAAGCCACAGGGTCAAGTATGTGCAAGACTCGGAGCAATTCCAAAGTCCCTGAAATGGCTGGTTGCTCCCCCAATATTCATTTTCCCCTCCTGCTATGGCAACTGATTTTTAGCTGGGCATAAAAACTGCCCCAAAGAAACCCAATTTCAACCCAACCTTGTAGCAGGGGTATCACTGTGTGACTAAGTTCTGACTCTGGAAATGATATAGCAACTTCTGGGGCACGCATTTTTCCCTTTCCTGCTAGCGGAATGTATTCACAGGAGGGAGTCACCCTGTACCAGGCACATGAGGGCAACACCCCAGAAATAGTGGAGCAACAAGAGGTAGGGCCTAGGACTTCATGTAGCAGAATTGCCCTGCTGGCTCACTTTTATGTGAAATAAATAAATAAATGTCTACCTTGTTTAGGTAACTAATTTGAAGGTTCTATCAGGTATGGCCAAACCCAGTAAGCAGTACAACAGTCCCCTAGGACTTCAAAATTAAGTTCATGATACTGGCTCTTTCCATTTCATCTATTAAACCATTAAACTTTACTGAGCAAGTGAATGTACTGACACACAGCAGGCACACAATAAACAATCGTAAAAAGAATGAATCAGGGCGCCTGGGTGGCTCAGTTGGTGGAGCGACTGCCTTCGGCTCAGGTCATGATCCTGGAGTCCCTGGATCGAGTCCCGCATCGGGCTCCCTGCTCGGCAGGGAGTCTGCTTCTCCCTCTCCCGCTCCCCCCTCTCATGTGCTCTCTCTCATTCTCTCTCACACAAATAAATAAATAAAATCTTTAAAAAAAAAAAAAAAAAGAATCAATCATATGTATTGTAACATTGAAGGCCACAACCTTGAGGATGCAGGTGGTTTTGCCAGAGCAACAGGCACAGAAGATAAGGTTACCTGGGCTACTGACAAGGTGGAATAATCCAATGACAAGAATGTATGCAGTTGTGCACAACGAACTGTACTTCAAGAGAAGATGAAGACCAGTGAGGGCAGTTGGGGGGAAAAAGGTGCTAAGGCCCTTCACTCACCTATTCCTCTCTTTCTGCCTACAGTACAGTGAAAAGGAAGAGAGAACCAGGCTACGTTTAGTTGGAGGAGCTGGGGTGATCCTGCATTTCTCTTCAAACAGTTTATTGGGCACACTGGATTTAAAAAGATCTTGTTCCTTTGGTTTCCGTCCACTTAAGGGAAAAATCATTGTGAACTGCACACATCACCAGTAATTCAATTTAAACAAAGAGTTGCTCACTTTTCACCATATCATCTTTCTCTCTCATTTCCTAAGACAAGACAGTATCTTTTTTCCTAAAAGATATATTATTTTGAGAGAGCCAGCGAGCAGGGGGAGGGGCAGAGGAGAGGGAGAGAATCTCCAGCAGACACCGCACTGAGCATGGAGCCTGATGCAAGGCTCAATCTCACCACCCTGAGATCCTGACAGGAGCCAAATCCAAGAATTGGACACTCAACTGACTGAGCCAGCCAGCTGCCCCCAGACGGTATCACTAATCTTCCAAGCAAAAACTTTATTTCTACTCACCCCTTTCCAGATGTCATATAATTGCCCTTTGCTCTTTAAAAAAATTGCTAAAAGGGGCGCCTGGCTGGCACAGTTGGAAGAGTATGCAACTCCTGACCTTGAGGTCATGAGTTCGAGCTCCACATGGGGTATAGAAATTACTTAAATAAATAAAACAAAAAAAAATTAATAAAAAATAAATGTCCTTTGCTGATTTATCCCCATATCTCAGGTTCCCCAATCCCTTAATCAAAACCTCAGGACCTTCTCCCTTAGGCCTTACCACCTCCCAATCTTTCTCGCCTGTTAGGTACCATCCCCAAGGGTTGCTTTAATGATGCGACCTCATCCTTTAGGGCTGACCCCCTTCATTATAGTACATAAATACATCACAACAGCAACTACTTAAGGGCTAGCAAAAACACTTTATGGATCAAGGGCTCAAAGCTAAATCTCCATCCTCTAAGTCAAAGCCTTTCACCATTCTCCCCACTGCCTTGGTTCCTCTTCTTCCTTATGCCCCTTATCCTCTCAGGAAGATTTACTTTCACTGGTCTTTCTACTGAAGAAACTTAGGATTCAGGTCCTGTCCTGCCTTGATTCCAAAATTTCAAATGTACAACCTATTCAGCCACTTGTTCCCATGGCCTGAAATGCATATTCCCTGCCCCCCAACTCCAGGCAAACACTGACCCTTCAACACCCACCTTACCCTCCCTCTGTCCCCATCCTCTGCCTATCACTTTACATGGTATACTAAAAAGAAAGCAGGTTCTGGAATCAAGATACAGCAGGGCTTGAATGCTTACTTCCTCCCCTCTAAAATGTAAGCTCCATGAGGGCAAGAATATTTTTTTTAAGATTTTATTTATTTATTTGACAGAGAAAGAGACAGCGAGAGAGGGAACACAAGCAGGGGGAGTGGGAGAGGGAGAAGCAGGCTTCCCGCTGAGCAGGGAGCCTGATGCGGGACTCGATCCCAGGACCCTGGGATCATGACCTGAGCCAAAGGCAGATGCCCAATGACTGAGCCACCCAGGTGCCCCCATGAGGGCAAGAATTTTTGTCTCTTCTGTTCAATGCTATATCCCCCAAGATCCCAGAACACTGCCCACACATATTAGATATCCAATAAATATTTGTGGGATAACTGAATAAACTTCACCACTTAGTCTCTATGTGACTATGGCTAAATCCTAACCACTTGCAGTTTCATTTGGAAATTGAATACTCCTCTCAAAGCCCAGAGTCTAACACATATTAGGAACTCAATAAAGTGGTTCCACTT